GTAGTATGTTGGGTTACTGTCTGGAAGAGCCTTTATCTATCTTAGCCAACAACTCGACTGAAGGTATTGCCTGTCTGGCTTTGTTGTTTGTCGAGTAACTTTTAGTTATGTGTATGTATGCTCTTATGATATTATGTTGGCCCCTTTAATCTTTGGTTATACTTCCCTTTTGGGTGTTTAGGGACATACAATTGGACCAGATAAACTGATTTGTTTTTACTCTTGAGGTCGTTAGAGGATTTGTTCCTCAGGGGTCCCATGGGGTTGGGAGGAGCCCCTGGCTCCTTTCTTTTACCAGCTCCATCCATGTGAGGATAAGTCAAAGGTCCTGCTCGACCATTGTTGGCTTGGAGGAACTACTTTTAAAAAGGCTCATTCATGGCTGGCAAATTGATGCTAGCTGTTGGCTAGCAACTCACTTGAAGCTATTGTGGGGTAGAGTGGCTGGCTCAGCTTCTCTTCACATGGGCCTTCTGGTAGGCTGATGGCTGTGCTGGATAGCTTTAGTGTCAATTTGACACACCTGGGTTGAGGGAGCCTCAACTGGGGAATTGCCTCCATAGGACTGGCCTGTGGCCATGTCTGTGGGGCATCTTCTTGATTATTGAGTGATGTGGGAGGGCCCAGCCCACTGTGGGTGGTACCACCCCTGGGCAGGTGGGCCTGTGTTGCATAAGAAAGCAGGCTGAGCAGGGGCCAGAGAGCAAGCCAGTAAGCAGCGTTCCTCCACGGCCTGTACTCCAGGTTCTTTCCCTGAGTTCCTATCTTGGGCTCCCTGATGAACTGTGACCTGGGAGATGTAAGCTAAATAAACCCTTTCCTCCCCAAGTTGGTACTGGTCAGAGTATTTTGTCACAGCAATTGAGAAACAAACCAGGACAGATTGGCTAGGAACTCACTTGTAGCTATTGAGGGGTAGGGTTGCTGGCTCAGCTTCTCTTCACATGGACCATCTCGTAGGCCTCCTCCTTATAGCATGATGACTAAGCCTCAAGAGCAAATGTAACAAAAAAAAATCAAGCAAAAGCTATATGGTAAACAGAATTCTAAAGTGATCCCACTGACCCACACCATTGTATACTCTCCCTTAAGTGTGAGTAGAGCCTATGGATGTCATTAGATATTATTCCAATGATTATATGTCAAAAGTTATTTTTGTGGTCCTTCAACTCTGAAGCTGTCAAGGCCTATTGCATGACTCAGCCAAACAACACTAACATAAATATGACCAGCGAGCTCACAGGATAGGAGACGATAGACTCATAGCTTGCCCTAGTCTTGAGAATGTACCATCGCACACTTTCTTCTGAAGTTCTTGGTCACAGGTCCTATGGAATCCTGCTTGACATGAATGACCCCAAGCCTACACGACATGTCAGTGCATTTAGTTCTTCCTTTTAACTCTTTATTCTGAAATAATTTCAAACTCATTGGAAATTTGGAATAGTCTGTACAGTAGTAACAAAGCAAGAAATGTTCCCCCAAACCCTCTCATATAGCCTTTACCTAGATTCACCCCAAGGATATTTCTTTTCTTTTTTGCCTAGAACTTGATTATAACTGAGGATGGTCTTAAACTGCTGATCTTCCTGCTTCTGCCTTCCAAGTGGTAGAATTAAAAGCATGTGCTTCCTCACCTGGCTCTAAGAGTATTTAAGAATGTCAGTGTGTATTTCCCAAGCATATAAACATCCACATACTTTTTCTTAATTTACCATCAAATCAAGACATTTAGCATTATATGCTAGTACACAGGTCATAACCAGATCTTGCCAGTTGTCCCAGGAGTAGCCTTTAAAATAATTTTGTTAGGATCCAGACTAGGATCACATGTGACATTTAATTATAATACCTCTTTAATCTCTACTCTAGAGCACTTTTTTTCTTTGACATTATGCTCGAGCCTGCAGTTGGATGGAATCCACCTCAGCTTTCTTCCTTGTGACCACCTCTGTGATCCGAATATGTGCAAGTTCCTCAAAAATTGTGATATTACTACGCCAACGTTATAATTACCTGAACAAATAGCCTAACTCTTAAATGTAGTTTTTAAGAGTGGGCCTAAACTCGGAGGACAGTCCTCCCTCTAGAGATTTCTTGGAACTGTCTGTCTTTTGGAACTGTGCTGCTGGAACTGTCTTGCTGGAACTCTGTCCTTGAAACTGTGTCATAAGTCTGGCCCCACCCATGACTTTATTCACAATGGTTTCTCCAGCTTCAAGTGGGGAAATACAAGCTTGACTTCACCCTGATCTTAACAGACCATCCAGCCTTTTCATCCCTAGTTCTAGAATATCTCATTCATCCAAGGTCCCGAGTCCTTCCCAATCTTCACTGTGTGCGGTGGAGATGGGTACCCTGCCTTTTAGTGCTTTGACATGTTAATTCTCAAACATCACATCTGTTAGCTCATATCTTTTTCGGA